ATTAGTTACTAATTAATGAATTTTTGGGGGCAATCAGTGGGAAAGCCCTGTTAACTATTAATTAATTCGTTACTGGGGACAATCAGTGTGAGAGTCCTATTAATGAGTTTTTGGGATCAATCAGTGGAAAATCCCTATTAATTGCTAATGAATGTGGTTTTGGGCCAATCATTGGGAACGCCCTCTTAATTCCTAATTACTGAGTTTTTGGAAGCAATGAGTGGGAAAGCCCTAATAATCACTAATTAATGATTTCTTGGGGTCAATCACTGGGAAGGCCCTATTAATAATTACTGAGCTTTTGGAGTCAGTCGTTGGGAAAGCCCCAAAAATTACTAATGAATGAGTATTTAAGGGCAATCAGTGGGAAAGCCCTGTTAATTCCTAATGAATGAGTTTTTGGGGCAATCACTGTGAAATTCCTATTCATAATTACTGGGTTATTGGGGGGCAATCAGTGGGAAAGCCCGAATAATTACAAATTAATGAATTATTGGTGGCAATCACTAGGACAACCCTATTAATTACAAATTAATGAATTTTGGGGGTCAATCAATGGGAAAGCCCTAATAATCACTAATTAATGAGTTATTGGGGACAATCACTGGGAAAGCCCTATTAAGTACTAGTTACTGTGTTATTGAGGTCAGTCAGTGGGAAAGCCCTAATAATTACAAATTAATGAGTTTTGGGGGGCAGTCATTGGGAAAGCCCTGTGAATTACTAATTAATGAATTTTTGGGGTCAATCAATGGGAAAGGCCTATTAATAATTAATGAGTTTCAGGGGTCAATCAGTGGAAAAGCCCTCTTCATTAGTAAATAATGAGTTTTTGTGGACAATCATTGGGAAACATATTAATTACAAATTAATGAGTTTATTGGGAACATTCACTGGGAAAGCCCTATTAATTACTAATTAATGACTTGTTGAGGACAATCACTTGTAAGCCCTGTTAATTGCTAATTAATGAGTAATTGAGAACAGTCAGTGGGAAAGCCCTCTTAATTAGTTATTAATGAGTTTTTGGGAACATTCACTGGGAAAGCCCTAATAATTACTAATTTGTCAGATATTGGGGCAATCAGTGGGAAAGCCTTATTAATTAATAATTAATGAGTTATAAGATGCAATCACTGGGAAAGCCCCATTAATTACAAATTAATGAGTTTTGGGAGGCAATCAGTGGGAAGGCCCTGTTAATTAGTATTTAATGAATTATTGGTGACAATCACTAGGACAAACCTAATAGTTACTAATTAATGAATTTTTGAGGGCAATCAGTGGAAAATCCCTATTAATTACTAATTAATGTGTTTTTGCTCCAATCATTGAGAAAGCCCTATTAATTCCTAATTACTGAGTTTTTGCAGGCAATCAGTGGGAAAGCCCTATTAATTACAATTAATGATTTTTTGGGGTCAATCATTGGGCATGCCCTAATAATCACTAATTAATGATTTCTTGGGATCAATCAGTGGGAAAACCCTATTAATTCCTAATTACTGAGTAATTGAGAACAATCAGTGGGAAAGCCCTCTAATTAGTTATTAATGAGGTATTGGGGGCAATCATTAATTACTAATGAATGAGTATTTAAGGGCTGTCAGTGGGACAGCCCTGTTAATTCCTAATGGAAGAGGTTTTGGGGCAATCACTGGGAAAACCTTATTAATTCATAATTACTGAGTTTTGGGGGACAATCAGTGGAAAAACCCCATTAATTACAAATTAATGAGTTTTGCAGGGCAATCAGTGGGAAAGCCCTCTTAATTGATAATTAATGAATTATTGGCAACAATCATTAGAACAACCCTATTAGTTACTAATTAATGAATTATTGGGGACAATCAGTGGAAAAACCCTATGAATTACTAATGAATGAGTTATTCAGGACAATCACTGGGAAAGCCCTATTGATTACAAATTAATGAGTTATTGGGGCAATCAGTGGGAAAACCTTATTAATTACTAATTAATGTGTTATAAGATACAATCACTGGGAAAGCCCTAATAATTACAATTTTTAGGGGCAATCAGTGGGAAAAAATTACTAATTAATGAGTTACTGGGGACAATCACTGGGAAAGTCCTATTAATAATTAATGAAGTTTTGGGATTAATCAGTAGAAAATCCCTATTAATTACTAATGAATGAGTTTTTGGGCAATCATTGGGAAAGCCCTAATAATCACTAATGAATGAGTTATTGGGGTCAATCAGTGGGAAAGCCCTTTAATTAGTTATTAATGAATTTTTGGGGGCAATCAGTGGGAAGGCCCTATTAATTACAAATTAATGAAGTATTGGTGACAATCAGGAAAACCCTATTAATTACTAATTAATGAATTTTTTGGAAAATCACT